CGGCGCCCCTGGAACCTCATACGTGCTTTTGAGCCAGAGGTTGCCACATGTTGTTCCATCTGTGGTAGACACCGTTCTACCCAACAAAAATTTGAGAAAAAGTTAGAGCCAGTCTAAGAGACGAAAATTAACATTAAAGTCAATAGGGATCTGTGGCCTGTCTATATGTGCGCTTTATATATACCGTTTCCTTTAACGCATGCGTTTGTGGGATGTTGTCTACAGCATGGCTGTCATAAGCAAGTAAGGTCCATAGCGATAAACCATCTATAGTTTTCATAGTTAAAACTGTTCGCCAGTAGCAGAGTGGCTAACTTAGCGTCACTCTAGAACATAGAATGTCACCAAAGACAACTCTGCGTCAACAATTACTGAAAGTCTTTCGTTCCGGACAAGAACTGTCATGTCGAAGAGCTGTCAACGTCATTTCCTGGCAAAGTAAAGTTCACGTGGATTATTGTTTCAGCGCGATGCCACCACTTCAAATAATGTGAATGAAATGAAACGGGGTTTAACGTCCTAATAACGACGGGCATACGCCATTCAGTGTGCTACGACATACACTTATGTCTAATTCCAACTGCCAAGGTACGAAAATGTGTACATGTGCAACCTCGTGGGATTTCTACGGGTCCTCCGTTTTCCTCCCACTGCTAAAGACCCCTACGCGCAATCGAATTATAGAAATAAAATTAAACCATAATATGTTAGTCCCGAAATGACCTAGATTGTGTCGAGTGGACGTTAAACCCCATTCCTCTCTCTCTCTCTCTCTCTCTCTCTCTCTCCTTGTACATGGGACCTTGTTTGTTTTGGTTTTTTTGGCCCATCCGATGAACTTCCTCGGCCAACACCTCCAGATTAGCGAACTAGCGTTCTCACCCCTGAGCCACAACGTATCGACTAAATCTATTTGTTAAGGCCAGCTCAATTTTGATCAAGGTCGATGAGATGTAAACAAGGTTAGGGCACGTGATTGTTGGCGAGATTGTAGGTAAGGGTTGACTAAAAATTGAGCTGGCCTTATTATTTAGCACTAACCACCGCGTCCCCTGTCAATTAATATATATGACATATATATAGTAGCGACGAAAATTCTCCTCTGCATATATTGAAACGATTCCATTCAAATAAATCTATAAAAACAACCAAGACAATCGAGATCGTTATAATGTCCCTTTTGTAAAAATAAACTTACATGGCAAAACTTTTCGAATGTTATATTCATTCAAATAAATCCATCAAAAACAGAATCCCGGCCCGGTTGTACGTGGCAAGGAGTAGGGTCGCCTGTCCAACCTCGTGGGTTTTCTTCGGGTCCTCCGGTTTCCTCCCACTGCTACAGACCCCTACGCGCAAGCGAATTACTGGAATAAAATTAAACCATATGTTGTTCCCCAAATGACCTAGTCTGTGTCGAGTGGACGTTAAACCCCATCTCTCTCTCTCCCTTAAAAACAATTAAGAAAATCGAGAGCGTTATATGCAGTTGACAGGTTAAGTACGATTCTAGCTTATTTCACATAACGCGGTGGATTTTAATCCTGAATGCTCAGAACAAAACCAATTGATCGACCGGTTCTTGATTTCATTTCTAAGAATGTCAGAGTCCTGTTTTCGACATCAAGTGTCAATTATAGAACTCTCAGTTCCACAGATTGACAATTTGTGTGCATTTTAAGTTTTTATTACATGTTTGCTTGAGTATATAATAGTCTTGTTCTTAAGGACTTGTTCTTGTAGCTTAATGGAATATCTGAAAACAATACTCAATGTCATTTAGACGTGCTTAAAGAACTGTGAAGTAGGCAGGTTACTCCGTTCATGGATTATTACCAAGTTATTGAATAACGTTACCACGTGTCTAAAGCGCCATCTACTGGGTTTAAAATAGGAAAATTGGATTGTTAGCTTCTCAATTCCAATACTTTGGTTCCTTGATCAGCAGGAATTTGTTCTAAAACACTTGTGACTCTTTCATCATAATCCGAGAAGAAAGCCAAATATAATGTCATTAAGCTCAGCACGTGTTGATTCTGTCTGGAATTCTGTTTAAATAAAAACCATGGCATAATCTCAAGCATTTAGTTTTACATTGGTTTTCAAGGAAAGTATCCCAGTCTTCCCGCTCTTAACGATCAAATTATATCTTCGTGAATATTCTCATTACTATTTTAGTTTCTCTTAGTTAATTAGCATCTTTAGCGTTCCATACACCCTCGAACTTTTATCTTTATTAATACCCCTCCACACTCCTCTCCTCCCAAACAAAACGTCTTTTATTATTAAAGATCAAAGTTAAATTGTCATTTATCAAACTATCTATAATTAATTCTCAGTTTCGTTTGTTTTCATTTGTCTGCTTCCTTTGTCTTTTAATCTTCGGGACTATTTTTAGACAATTCAATCGTTCGGTTACTGTCTTTCATTCTCCAGTAATCTGGAAAAAGTCAAATTTTGGCAAGGCCTCTAATTATCCTCATCTAAAAAACCCAAATAAAATTTGCTTTATAGTCAGTAGCTTAATCTTGAAACAAAACAGTCGAGAATTCAATCTGATTGGAATCCTCGGTTGTACGTGACAAGGAGTAGGGTCGCCTATCCAACCTCGTGGGTTTCCTCCGGGACTTCCGGTTTTCCCCCACTGCTAAAGACCAGTACGCGCAAGCGAATTATTAAAATATAATTGAACCATATGTTAGTCCCTAAATGACCTAGTTTGTGTCGAGTGGACGTTAAACCCTATTCCCCTCTTCTTCTCTTGTTAGCCTTGAATAACCGCAAGCCGAATATAAAAACATGAATGTTGTATTCGGGAAATTCTGTGATTCGAGATCACGTCGTACATTTTCAGTCTTATGTTATATCATTATTAGCCTAATGGAAAGATTGGAATAAATATTTTATGATGACTTGTCGGTAATCCTAAATGTCTGGAAGTCTTTAACTAAGACTGGTGTTTGAAGTTACTCATCAATCGCAATTATATATAATTATTGACGTTAGACTGGGGTGTCACAAATATTTATCTACCCGCGAAAGTTATTTTTTTTTTCAAGATCGCAGGGTGGACATTTATTTTGGGGGTGGGGATAGCATGTCATTTAAAGCGAAGAACCACGTTGGCTCGGTGAGCATGCGCCGGGACCATAACCAGGAGACCTGGCTCCTTGAGAATGGGGCATTATTGAAAAGTGTCCAGTTGTTCGGTCTGAACGAAAAATCAAGTTTCATTCGTGTACTTATTTGCATACATTTATATAAACCGGGGGGGGGGAGTCATGGTGGCTAAGTGGGTAAGACGCTGGCTCGCTAGCCTGGAGATCGCGGCTTCGATCCCTGTGTTGGCCGAGAAAGTTCATCGGCGTGGTTTTCCCTTGTCAGTGGTGTATGACGGAGGGACTGGGGCGGGAGGTGTATAGTCGTTCTGATGGGACAAAAAAGGGTTGGGCGATAAATAAAATGTCCTACTCGTCATGGGGGGTTGGATGGCCGAATGGTTAGCGGGTGCGTGCTGTATTATAAGGTCTGTCATTGAGTCAATTGGCGTGGTTTCGACTTCCCGGTTGTACGTGACAAGGAGTAGGGTCGACTGTCCAACCTCGTGAGTTTTCTCCGGGTCCTCCGGTTTCCTCCCACTGCTAAAGACCCCTACGCGCAAGCGAAATTATTGGAATAAAATTAAACCATATTATGTTAGTCCCAAAATGACCAAGTTTGTGTCGAGTGGACGTTAAACCCTATTTCTCTCTCTCTCTCTATTTGACAATATTATAGTTTGCGAGCAAAATCTTTCAAATGATAAACATTATGTAAGAGCTAAATCTGCCTATTGCAGGTCCTTCTTTAAGCCTAAAATGTTATATAAATTATTAATTATGCATAAATTAACTTATCCAGAACATAACCAACTCTCGATGTCATCGGATACTCGAAATTTTAACTAGATTAGAGAGGTTCACCATTTAAAAATTTAATTTAAAAATGGGAAAGTCTCGAATATAACAGTGTTCTGGTTACCACTATAGGACACATAGTGTCAAAAATGCAAACAGTGATAATTTGGCCTGAATAAAGTAATTTGAATGAAATTTTCAATATTTTCATTTTTTATCATCTATTTATAAATCATTAAAGCAAGAATGACCAACTCTTTATTAAACATTTAAAGGTACATTATGTAAGATTTAAATAAAAGGCTGGATGTTCTTGCTATAATAGATTAAAGATACATTATGTAAGATTTAAATAAAGAGGTAGCCATTCTTGCTATAATAGTTCGAAAATAGATAATGTAAAATGAATAATTTCAATATTTCATTCAAATTACTCTATTGCGAGCGAAGATCTTAGCCTTTGAAGGTTTGACAGGATGTGTGCAATAATTTCAACCAGCGTACTGGTTGTTCGAAGCTAAGTCTCGTTCCTCCATTGTTAGCTTAAATCAAAATATGACTGAACTGTTCTAATCTATTTAATATCGGAAAAATCCGATGCCATCGAGATTTGATTATGGCCTGGATAAGTTAATTAATGTCTAATTAATAATTTAGAAAACAGATTTAGCTCTTGCGTAATGTATGTTTAACTGATGTATATTTAAATACAGGACATAATTCTTATAAAATATATTCCCAATATAAAGAGAAGTAAAAATTCAGTCCCTTGATATCACAGAATTCGCCAATTCGTAAGCGGACTATCCATCGTTTGTAGGCGTACTTTGTATTTGAGCGAAATTAATTATAATATGTATTAATCCGTGATGTTTTTGAGATAAGAATTACACCATTTTTTTTACTTATGACACAGGCCGTATCAAACCATCGGTGTCAGGTCACGAATACGGACATAATCAGACTTTTTATCACTTAAAGCTACAGAATCGGTAGCCAAGGGAAAGCTTAGAACGATTGGTATGGTCGTTTCAATGTCAGTTTCTCTCGTAAAGTATAGCACATAGATTGAACACTCGCTTTCACTAGTTCAACATACTGAGTTAGTTGTTCAGTTGGGATTTCAGCCGTCAAGTGTGTGCTCTCTCTAGCCGTGTCTTGACTACAGCAGTCGATATTATATTCTTGTATAAAGGAGTGACATAGCACTACTACTACTTCTCATACTGTCTGAATGAAAAAGTAACAAAAAAAAACATAACAGTGAAATTTAAGTTATTGTCGCTAGTAAAAGTTCGTGAATTGGGATATATAGTGTTGGATTATTCAATGTGGTGTTCAATGTATATACATGTAAGTAAAATATATAATGGATATATTAATGTATCAACTAAACTTGAGACAAAGTAAGTAATTGAAATTCGTGGGACAAGAGAAATGGCGGATAGTTGGGCTGTAATTGAAATGAAATGAAATGGAGTTTAACGTCCTACTGTTCTGCTCCGAACCGGGCTAATGAAGACTGGCATACGCCATACTGTGTGCTTTGAGGGAAATTTTGCCCGGGTAGGGGCACTACGGCCTACTCTTTTATCGAATCCCAACTGTCAAGGGATCTTTTACGTGCACGCTATTGTGTACACGGGACCTCGGTTTTTTGTCCCATCCTGCATCACTGACAAGGGAGAACCACGCCGGAAAATCTGGATGAACTTTCTCGGCCAATGCAAGGATCGAACACCCGACCTCCAGACAAGCGAGCCAGCGTCTTACCCACTTAGCCACCATGATCCCCAGTTGGGCTGTGAAGAAAAAAAAGACAGATCTCGAAATTTTGTTTTGAAGATATATAATAATTAGGTGACCTTTTAACATTAATTATATACACCAATTTAATTAATATCACATAAAAATTCGTTTCTTTTCATGAGGATTCGGAGCAACCGAGTGAGACAGAAGCGGTGCAGCACAAAAAAAATATGTGTCAGAATTTAGTTTTACCGATGACCTTTTAACATAATTATATACATCAATTTAATTTTAATTAAATATGTGTCAGAATTTAGTTTTGCCGATGATCTTTTAACATAATTATATATACCAATTTAATTAATATAAATAAAATGAAATACGGTTTAACGTCCAACCTATCTGCTCCGAAGACAGAGCTAATGAAGACGGGTAATTAATATATTACAAATTTCGTTTCGTTTTATGAGAATTAATGTCAGATATTCTAGAAGATCCCCTAAAAGAACACGGTAGACTTGTCATGCTATCTTTACTATAAAATTTGGTACCATTGCAAGGCTTTTACTTTAAGTAACATTTTCACAATACAGATGCTCTGACGATGCCCCCATCGCTCTTCAGGCTTGAATTTTTCTAAATTTGGTGAGCAAAATAAAAATAAGGAGAGAATGTGAATCTAAATTAGAGAGGGGGTATTCCGGAATGCAACCATTTTCCGTATATTTGTATAATTAAGTCATTCACTAGACAATTGGACACAATACTAGATCTTTGTACGATCTGGAAAATATCTTTCCGTGTTTATACCAACAATTATAACCCTAACCCTTCAGAATAGTTTTACCCACAATCCACCGATATAAGAACTTCATTTTGTACGTTTGACATGTAATTTGTAAACCTAACCCGAACCCTAACTCTAACCCAAGAGAAAGATATTTTCGAGATCGTACGAAGATCTAGTACTGTGCCGATTGACTTCCTATGGGTATCGAACCTGCGCCTTCTTATTGTAATTTGTTTAAGTATGTTGTTTGTGAACTGTGTTCATCCTCGTCTCCCATCTCTCTACCCGCCTCCATCCTCTTTCTCGATATTTTCAATAAGTTAAAAAAAAAATCAACATTTATCCTTGCCTTGTTTTGTTATCTCGGACTGTCTGGATATAACCCAGACAGACTACTGGATCCGAATCAAACTTAATGACAAGAAGCCACCATTAAAATTTCATGTTCTTCCACTTGTACAGGGAATTCCTGACGAGATCTAATCCCATCATCGGCGAAGAGTAAACTTACGTAATATTTGTAACTTTTCGCCCACTCAATTAACTTTAATGGAATAAAGTTTTGTTTTCGGCAGACAGTCGTAGGCATTAAAAGTACGGAAGCGCAAAGATGAAATTTTTCGTATTTTCTTTCTTAAATCCTAATTAGGGGTTTAACGTCCACTCGACACAAACTAAGTCATTTCGGGACTAACATATGATTTAATTTTTATTTCAATAATTCGATTGCGCGTAGGGTCTTTAGCAGTGGGAGGAAACCGGAGGACCCGGAGAAAACCCACGAGGTTGGACAGGCGACCGTACTCCTTGTCACGTATAACCGGGGAGTCTCAACCACGTCAGTTGACTCAATTACAGACCTTATGATACAGCGCACACGTGCTAACCATTCGGCCATCCTTCCCACTCTAGTGGACTCCAACCCCCAAGTTACCATCTGCAATAAAAATCAATGCGTAAACAATCAAGATATACTTACTCTTTCTAGACAAGCCTGACAAAGGCAGCTGTCTAGTCGTTCGGATGGGCGTGCACGTAAAAGATCCCTAGGCAGTTGGAAATTCGATATACAAGTAGGCCATAGTGCCGCTGCCCGGTCAAAATTTCTCAAATAGCACACTGTATGGTGTATGCCCGTCTTCATTAGCCCAGTCGTAGCATAACAGTAGGACGTTATATCCCATTTCATTTCATTTATCTGACAAATTTTACATTTGGTATCGGACATTTTCAATTTAATGATTTTATCTCCTCAGACAAAATCTCGCTCAACCTACCGATTTATTTTATATAATAAACATACATGATGCAAGAGCTATATCTGTCAATTGTAGGTCTTTCTGTGGGCCTGACATGTTATCTAAATTATTAATTAGATTTTAATTAACTGATCTAGACCATAATCAACTTCTCGATGTCATCGCTAGCCTGAGATATTTACTGGATTAGAACCCGTGATTAAATCAAAATGTGGATAATCGAGACTATGTTATTTATTGTATAGACTTTAGTAATGATGATCCAAGCTACACCCAAAATTCAATCGCTAACTACTCGGTTCAGGGTGGATCAATTTGACTTAATTTTTCAGCAAATTCCCTTTACATTATCTAGTTTTTAACTATTATAGTGAGAACTACCAGCTCTTTATCTAATCTCCCATAATGTATCTTTAAGAAATTTGTAATGGAATAGTAAACATTAAATTATAAACTCAAATTGCTTGAAATCCGTGCAATATATTTTTACAGAGCGTCGATCATTGGGACTGACGTTGCTATATTACCGCGTGCAGTACTTACACATTAATAAGTATCGACAGAGCTCGTCAATTCATCGGCCTACACGTGTAACAATTAAAGACGAATTATTAAAGATAAGATAAAAGAGATGACAGTTCTCACTATAATAGTAAAAAAATAGATAATTTAAAGGGAATATGCTGAACATTTCAATCAAATTGCTCTACTCTGAGCCAAGATATTAGCGCTTGAATTTTAGGCCTAGCCTCGACCATCATTACTAAAGTCGGTACGATAAAACACATAGTCTCGGTTATCCACGTTTGGACTAAACCATCAATGAGCGTTGAGCAGCAAATCGGATTCAAATCCAATTAATATCTGACAGATAAAATGGCATCGAGAGTTGATTAAGGTCTTTTCGTGTTAATAAATGTATAATTAATAGTTTATATAACATTCCATGCCCAAAGGAAGACCAGATAGACAAATGTATGTACTTTAAAGGCTCAATACCACTCTTGTTGTAACTGAATAATATGTCCCAATTTTTATTCTGGTCAACAAATTGTACTATTTTACAATATTCCAATTCATTGATGATCTTAACACATCTAATTTAAAAAATTAGAAAAATTCAACTAAATGTTCTGAAAAGTCATTGATGATCTTAACACATCTAATTTAAAAAATTAGAAAAATTCAACTAAATGTTCTGAAAAGCCTGACGTAAAGCTTTTCAAATGTGACTTGGATGTAAAAATATTTTTGAACCCTCTGGACAAGTAAAATAGGATTTAATGGATAATTTACACAACAGGTAGGACACAAACACATCTAGGACTTAGAATAAGGCTATTTTTTTTATTTTCTGGAGCTGTCAAGCCGCCAGCAAGAATGTTATTGTCCCTTTAAAAGGTTGCTCTTGGGATATCCCGAAAGATATCATATTTATGGTGAACAATATATTTGCCCTGACATTCGAGATTGTTGAGGATTTATGACAATTTCAATTATAAATTTTTATTTCGCCAGCGCATCACAACGACTTTAATTCACATTGACAGACCAAAATTTAACACCGACAAGATAACACTAGGTTTCGCCAATGTAAAAGGTCAAACTAATCGAGAAAATATTGGACGAAAAATTGATATTGACATCTTACTGCACCATTCCTTAACTTGGCCTCGATGTTGCAGATTTTTGAAAGATTGATATTGACATCTTATTGCACCATAACTTGGCCTCGTGTTGCAGATTTTCTGTAAAAAAAAAACCCAATAAAATGCCAGAATACTGTAATTTTATTTCAACAATTCGCTTGCGGGTATGGGTCTTTAGCAGTAGGAGGAAACCGGAGGACCCGGAGAAAACACACGAGGTTGGAACAAAACCCAAACAAGCCGAACAACGACTTTTATGTTAAACTAACTGGGTTTCGTTTTGAAATCCTAATTACAGCATTAACTTTATTAATCGTTTTTATTCCCCAGCTAATCCGGTTCTCATTCATGGCCATCAATTAACTTCCTTTCTAAGTCTGGTATCACTTGACAATCGCTGCGTTTGATTACCCAATTATCCAGTCTGTTTGAAATTACAATCCAAATAATGAGAAGTCCAACTTTTCGCTGTTTCTTGTTTAAATGCGTTGTTCCAACTGAGCTACCATTGTTAGTTTAAAATATTTATACAAAGAAATATATAAAGGCATCTACATGAAAAAAAGATAAAAATAAATAAAAGGTACTAACATAACGATAACGAAATGAAACTTAAAGATTCGACATTGAAGAGAGAGAGAGATGGGTTTAACGTCTCCTCAACACAAACTGGATGCGCGTAGGGGCCTTTAGCAGTGAAAGGAAAAAGGAGCCCACGGAGAAAATCCAAGAAGTTGGACAGGCCACCGTACTCCTTGCCACTTACAACCGTGGGATCGAAACCACGCCACTTGACGCAATGACAGACCTTCTGATCCAACGCGCACGCATCAAGACCCCCCCCCCCCTGCGACATTAAAGGGACCGTCATTAAATCTTCTCTGAATATTGAAATCAGCTTTTTCATGCTTGAATGTGTTTATCCGTATTGATTAATATTAAGGATAAAATACGCACTGAGCAATCCATCGGAACGTCTGTATAATACATCATTCACGTCTCTTTTTTATTAACTATTCTATGCCTTTTTCAGTTTTTAAATCCGTATGGATTATCTCAAATACGCGCACTAAGTGAACTCTTTAACATGCATAAAGAAAAATCGACCACTCGCTGTGCCATAATTCTATGAATTTAAACAATACGTTCATTGGCAACACGTGTGTATAAGGATATAATTCCAACACGGAAGTCATAAAGATCTCATTAGTATCCGAGTTTTATTTGTGTTTGGAAATTAAACGAGATTCCGTGGTCCTATAATTGTATCGGGTTTCTTCTTCTGGAAATAATACAAAATTATATTTAAATTTCTTTCCTAATTTAGAATGTGTGCAGTCTTATGTAATAAAAGTCCCTTTATAAAACTGGGTGGGGGGCGAATGGTTAGCGCGAAGAAAACAAACGAGGTTGGACAGACGACCCTATTCCTTGTCACGTACAACAGGGGAATCGAAACTAAGCCACTTGACTCAATGACAGACCTTATGATGCAGCGCGCAGACGCTAACCATTCGGCCATCGACTTCCGTTAATACAAAAATTTCCCTCTTCGACACGAGGCAAATTGTAATTATACAATTGTAATTAAAGATACATAAGTTGAATGTATGGGTGTGGCGCCAGGCAGGGTAAGCTTACTATTAAAAAAGAGTTGGTCATTCTTGCTATAATAATTCAAAAATAGATGATAAAAAAAAAAGAAAATATTGAAAATTTCATTCAAATTACTTCATTCTCAGCCAAGTTATCATTGTTTGTAGTTTTGACAAGATGTGTGCACAGTGGTAACAAGGGCACTGGTATAATCGGGACTTAGCTTCGATTTCCCATTTTTAAATTAAATTTTTAAATGGCGAACCGTTTTAATCTAGTTAAAATCTCGAGTATCCGATGCCATCGAGAGTCGATTATGCTTATGTTTTGTTAATAAATGTCTAATTAATAATTTATATAACATTTTAGGCCTAAAGAAAGACCTGCAATAGGCAGATTTACCTCTTGCATAATGTTTGTTAAATATACCCTGTAAAATTTATACGATAAGTCGCTACCATAGGTGATATTGAATGAGTGTCATATTATTTTATTGGAATTATGTAATTATTCAGTTCTAATGCATCTCGTCATTCCAGCGTATCTAACAACCAACAATAGTAAATGTATTTTTAAACTCGCATATTGATATTTTCTTCTTTTCTATAGACACAAAATCAAGTACCCGTAAAAATCATGAAACCATGGAACCATGAAATTCACAAGAGACAAATCGAAGAGTTTTTTCTGATATCTCTGAGATTTTAAATAAAGGACAGGTTGTGTGTTATCTACCTTTTTTAAGGTTGTTGTACACATGTTAAAGGGCGTGTGACTCGATTGTTTGGAAATCTTAAAATAGTTGAAAATGGTACTAGAAGCACATAATTGGGACCTAGAAATTGACACAATTGGGTGGCAACGCATATAATAATGAATGTGTATAAACTGATTTACATTCAATCGTTTCAGTTTTTACTCTAATTTCAAATCATTTATATTCGGCGAAAAACGCCAGCAGTCTCAATCGAATGGCAATCTCTAGCTTCTGTATATTCCAGTCTACATCGATAGTATTATTGTGCATGCTCTCCAGATAAGAATATGACGTCACCGTTTGACATGACTTGTGGAATATGTCTAACCTCGTTGTTCAAGTCTCTTGTTACAAATTGCGCTGAAACGACTTATGGTACAAGATTCGTGTACCAATGGTAAAATGTTTATTTTGTTTTAAATATTGGGTATCAGAAGCCCATCTTTTCCCGGTAAGATTACAACATCAATGCTGATTTAAATTGACAAATAATTCGTGCTTTCAATGTCGAATTCTTTAGGTGATATTGAGTTAGAGACTTAGCTACTTTAATAGTAATGTTTATCAATGTAAATTACTGATTTATATTCAAGTTAAATTCTTATTGTAATTCATAATCGATTATGTTGGGTGAAATACGTGAACAGTTCAAATTGAACGGCAGTCGTTTCCGCCTGCTTAGTGCATTCTAAACGTTTTTCTTTAAATTATTATTTTGTCGTTTTTGAACCACCCATTACTAATTACTTCCGCATTGCCTTGTAGGATATTTTTTTCTTTGTTCATTACAAATTGCCACCCGAAACTATAGTATACACGACTCGTGTATTGATTATAAAATATTAATAGTGTCTTAAATATTGGATATTAGGATGCAATAGTTTCACAGCAAGATAACAACATCACTGTTGATTGAAATGGACCAATATTGAATTCTAATTTGTGTTTTTAATTTCAAATATTATGGAAAATATTTGAATTACAGGTTTAGCGCCCTGAAACATTATGTAAGAGCTAAATCTGCCTATTGCAGGTTTTTCTTTAGGCCTGAAATGTTATATAAACTATTAATTAGACATTTATTAACAAAACAAGACCATAATCGACTCTCGATGGCATCGGATACTCGAGATTTTAACTAGTTTAGAACGGTTCGCCGGCCATTTAAAAATTTAATCTAAAAATGGGAAAGCGAGGCTAAGTCCCGATTATACCAGTGCCCTGGTTACAACAATGCACGCATCTTGTCAAAACTACAAACAATGGTTAACAAATATTTTGATACTTAAAATTTCTGTTGACAACGCTTGAAGCGACATTATTGTGGAGATTTTTATTTTCCCCCACAAAATAAACTTGATTAGGAAAAAAATTGTTATTTAAAATTTCTGTTGGTATTATTTTTATTTAAATAGTAAGTGCAAGGGGACTGCACCACACACACTTTACACAAAAACAAATACACGGACAAGACATCATACTCAGAAAAACACAAACAATTAAAAATAAGTGAATAATTATAAGTCCCTAACTCAATATCATCCAAAGATTTCGACATTGAAAACACGAGTTATTTGTCAATTTAAATCAACAATGATGTTGTGATCTTGCTGGGAAAAGATGGCCTTCTGATATCCAATTTTCAAGATAAAATAAACATTTTACCATTGGTACACGAATCGTAGACCATAATGCGTTTCAACGCCATTTGTAACAAGGGACTTGCAGAACGAGGCTAGACAAATTATATAAGTCATGTCAAACGGTGAAGTCATATTCTTATCTAGAGAGCAATCGCAGTAAATACTATCTGTGTAGACTGGAATAACCCTGACGCTAGAGATTGTCATTCGACTGAGACTTTTGGCGTATGTCGCCGAACATACCTGCTTTGAAATTAGAGTAAAAACGGATACTATTGAATGTAAATCATTTTATATACATTCATATTACATTATTATATGCGTTGCGACCCATTTGTGTCAATTTCTAGGTCCAAAATATTAGCGATTTAGCTCCTTTAAATACCCGCATAATGTCTCTTTAACAACTGGTGTATTTTATATTTCAGTTGAACGAACAGTCTTAATACTGGTATAGTCAGATGTGAATACAGAAGCTACAACTCACCATACCAGACAAAAGCTGGAATCCTAATCGACAATTCACTTACATATTCGTGTCACTTTAATCTTGTAACGTGTAGTTGATGGAAGTTTAGTTTTTAAAAGGGTTTTGTCAATCTGATAATTGTGGGCTGTTTGTGACTGGACCCAGGAGGCTAATATCAGTAAAGGCACCACACATGAGTAAGAAATGTCCGTGAGACGAGATTACGATGAAATTGATTAAATATCGTTTGTTAGTTCGTGTTGACCAACTGTTTACTACATGTGGTCAATTCCACCGGATTGCTTCTATCAGTTCTGAATAGTCTCGCACTGGTTTCTGGAAGTGTAATAGACGTTTTAATTACTATAAGACACTTGTGTTCTATTGAAACTGTGGTTTGTTCTCCGTGTGATTCCGACAAGTGAAATCAGTCTATAATACGGTGTTCTGTGTACAGAATAAAAATAAGGGAATTGCAACAGTTGAATAAAAATCGTAGAAAAGAGAGGGTCCAGAACTGTATCAGACTCGGGGTGGTGATAATAAGTTCCAATTTTACCGAACGATTGATAGTCAATTTTACCCAACGACTGCTATATAGTCAATTGCTAGCTTATAGATAATGGTACATTGTGCTTATTATTAACAATATACGTTTTGTGATCGCTAACGTTTGGATTATTTTCTACATAGAGGAAATGACTGTGTTCGTTGACGCAAGTTAGATACCGTTTACGTCACACCAATTCCGATCACACTTCTAAAGTGGAAGTCTGTTCAACTGTCGATTTTTTCTGAACCGCCTTCATATTAACAAATAATTTATTTATTAATAAAATCCATTAAAATCAATTCAGTGGTGTAGTAGAATGAGACTATGATAGTTTTTGGCTGTGGAATTGACGTTTGTTTTATGTAAATCAAGTATTGGATTATTTTCTATGAGGATGGGATAATGTGTTTAATTTTGTTGGATATTTTATATATGAATCTCCCCTGATGTAAGGCTGTAATATGATCCGTATTGTTCTATATACATATATCCTACTACACATAATGTACTTTACAGGTAAGTTGTCTTTATTACATACAAACTATACAGGTGAGAGAGAGAGAGAGAGAGGGGGGGGGATGACACGGGTGGTGGTGTTCATCGCCCCGAGATATTGCAATCCATTTCCTAACCATACCTGATGTTGAGAAATGAGAGAGAGAGAGAGAGAGAGAGAGAGAGAGAGAGAGAGAGAGAGATGGGGTTTAACGTTCACTCGACACAAATTAGGTCATTTCGGGACTAACATATGGTCCAATTTTATTTCAATAATTCGCTTGCGCGTAGGGTTCTTTAGCAGTGAGAGGAAACCGGGAGACCGGAGAAAACCCACGAGGTTAAACAGGTGACCCTACGCCTTGTCACGTACAACCGGAGAATCAAAACCGCGCCAGTTGACTCAATGACAGACCTTATGATACAGCGCACACGTGCTAACCATTCGACCTCATTCAGTTAAGTCGTCTTTACTACATAGAAATTTAATTTAATTTTTCTTTGATATAAAGGGACATTATGGGAGATTAGATAAAGAGTTGACAGTTCTCGCTATAATAGTTTAAATATACATAACGTAAATACAGTAGAACATGCTGAACATTTCAGTCTAATTTGCTCCACTCTGAACCGAGATATTAGCTTTTGAATTTTAGGCTAGCCTCGATCATCATTACTAAAGTCGGTACGATAAAAAACAAAGTCTCGATTATTCTTTTTTACGTTAAAGTATCCTTCCCACAATGTATTCCGATTCGCTAAATATCGCAGGCTAGCGAACATTTCAGGTCCAAAGAAAGACCTGCAATAGGCAAATTTAAAGAATGGATATTACAAATACGTTATGTAAGAGCTCAATCCGCCTATTGCAAGTCTTTTGTTTGACTTCAAATGTTATTTAAATTATTATTTATACATTTATTCACATGGCAAACATATAATCTACTCTCTAGATCATCGGATGACCAATATTTAAATAGATTTGAACACTAGCAAGATTTAAACATTTAACGAACCAATGGATAAAAGAGACTTAGTTTCGGCTGACATTTACCGTTGTTACTATAATTAACGATCTATGCTACATCTTTAATAGTCCTTCGGATGGTGCGAAAAACCGAGGTCTCATATTTTCATTGGCAGTTGGATTTCGATATAAAAAAAAGTTATAGTGCCACTGCCCGGTCAAAATTTCCCTCATAGCACACTGTGTGCCTATCTTCATTAGCCCAGTTGGGGCAGACCAGTAGGACGTAAAACCCAATTTCATGTTCATTTCAGTGCATTGCTACATCTTCAAATAACGCCCAGAATAAAGTAATTCATTTTCCATTATCTATGGTTGAACTATTATATTAACGTCCTCTGGACACAGACTAGGTCATTTCAGGACTAACTTATGGTTCAATTTTATTTCAATAATTCGCGGGCGCGTAGGTCTTTAGCCTCGTTGACAGACCTTATGATCAAAAGCGTACGCGTTGACCATTCGCCCCCGCCCCCGCCCCCTTTTATGGAACGAACAAAAAGCCCGTGCATTGTTCTAGAGCAGTGGTTCTCAACATTTTTTTGCCAACGGAACACCTTGGAACACATAGCGGCATACCTGGCTAAATATATATGAAAAATATTTGAATATTGCAAAATAAAAACATGGTAAGTCAGACGACATACAACCGTAGACGGAGACTAGTCATAGACACATAGAATGACTCAAACTAAATAAAGAAAAACAAAGCTATAAACTTTATCAGTAGACACCAGTGAATACTCAATTAGGATCATTGGTTTTTCGCATTTAGTGTGCCGTTCAAAATTTCGCGGCACACTTAGGAAGTTCTCACGGCACCCTTAGGAAGTTCTCGCGGCACACTGGTTGAGAATCAGTGTTCTAAAGCATGAGTGCTATGATTGTATAAATTGTGAATATCTATCATATACCCGGCTTCGCTCGGGGGGTCATAACTCCGAAACCGGAAGTGGTAGACTAACGCCACCTGGCCTATGTTACTCCCCGGTCCGAGCTACCCCTATACCCCAAATTTCAGACTCGGGGCAGACCTAGTGTTGTCGCCAACCCCGAACAGACAGACAGACAGACAGACAAACGACAGTCACAAATATATATATATAGAAGATAGATAGATCAAGCAATTATCGATTTTCCATAATTTATAAATCGATAATCGATGCCTTTAATGTGGCACTAAAAGCTCCACTTTATCTACTAACGCAATTAGCAATAGAGTTTAATACAAACTTATTATTCCCATCCCTCTTTCTATATTAAACAGTAATTCGTGCAGATTGTATTTGTCCAAAATACCGTCATTAAAAAGATTTCAATAATCGAGGTGTGAACCTAAACACCGACGCAACACTCATGGTGCTAGTTATCCGTCATTAATTTGATCTAAAGAGGCGTTTAATTTGTACTTTGGAGGACTTCGTTTTTACGCCAATCAACTTCTGAACTTTTCTGACAGTTTAACGATTAATTTACAAGTGGTTTACAAGTACAACGAACTTTTTTTTTTTTTAAAAAAACCCAAAAAAAACCCCCACTGCTGTTAATCTAATGCTTGGGTTGTCGATAATTGGCCGATGAGTCAATGATTATTTAGAATGTGGCACTATTTAAATTTAATTACATTTTCTTGATGAGAGCGCGATATAATGCCTCTAGCAATAATTGAAGTGGGAGCTAAGCTCAATGTCACAAAAAGACAACATAATTAGTAAGGTAAGAGAACTGTCCAAATAATTTGAAACGATGTGTGTGGAAATGAAATGAAATGAAATGGGGTTTAAAGGAGGCAAGTCTCTAACTCAATATCATCCACAGTCTTCAACATTGTAAACATGACTTATTGGTCTCTTTAAATCAACATTGATCTTATTATCTTACCGTGAAAAGATGGATTTCTGATATCCAATATTTAAGACCAAATCAACATTTTAAAATTGACACACGAATCGTGTGCCCGAATGCTTTCGAGCGCCATTTGTAATGAACGAGACTCTCTGTATAGCTTTACATAAGCCATGAGAAGCATCACCATTTTCCCTTTAAATTAGATTAGCATCTATCTTTCAAATGGTATTTTTTAATGTCATTGCTAATGACGAAATTGCGTTTCAGCTTTAAATGTGTATAGTAAATAATTTTGTTCTTTTTTTACATAGGTATTATCAATGTTTTATTGTGTTTTAAAGCGAGAATTTCATATTTTCTAAGAAAGTCAAAACATAATTATTTCTATGTCTTTTGCTCAGTAGGTTATCAACTCACTATTATACGATCATGGGCATTATTTCCCACCCTTAAAAATTTCTCAACTGGCAATAGTGAATTATAGGATTAATAGGATTATTCTTTAACAAGGTAGGGCGGTTTATGGATACCATCTATTTTAAGGCTTTATTTTAATAAATTTTAAAAATATAACTTAAAAATATGAAATTTTAGCTTTAAAATAGTCATTTAAAAGGATATCTATTATTATATTCATTTTTTTACAATAAAATTTCTTGCCAAAAACATAACAAATACAACATCCTTTATTTCCGCAATTGCACATAATATGTTTGAAATTGTTTATTCTATATAAGAGTTTAATGAAATAGAATAATACGATATTCTCCGTCGACATGTTTTCTACATGTATGAATAGAGAATGTGACTCACAATAGATAAACAAACACATGTTACAAACTGTACGGAGATTACTAAAAAAAAATTTTTATTGTGATTTTAATATCCAATTTTAGCCCCGATGTTTACGGTGACTTAAGTTTTATTACATATTTCTATAGAAAACATGTACTGTCACATATGTATGTATTTATAATTTACAGTATAATAAGTTTAAAATATCATTAAGTCGCTAACCACTCAAGCGTGGATAAAAAAAAACAATTCGACGAAAATTCGGCCACATCTAACGTTATAATCGACAAATCTCTTTGTTTAGTTGTTTTTGTTTTTAACATCTTTAAATATAAAGGGCAAAATATTATTGTCTAAGGGGATTCGGGCGATGAGAGAGTGCTTGATCCTTCTGTGATGTTTGTATTTATATTTGGGGGGCAGGGAGGGGGGTACGGTGACTCAGTGAGTAAGACGTTGGCTCGCTAGCCGGGAGGTCGGATGTTCGATCCCGGTAGTGCAGGACAGAGGGCCTGGCAAGAGACAACGTAGAGTTGTTCACGTAAGAGAAGCCTTGGCAGTTGGAATTCGATATAAAAATAGTCCATAGCGCCGCTGTCCGGGGATAATGTCCTTCATAGCACACTCGGGGTAGAACAGTAGGACGCTAAACACCATTTCTTTCATTCATTCAATCACTGATGCGGTCTGTCAACAATCTTAGAATGCAATAATGTGGAAAACATACGCCTTACCACTGCAAAAAAAAAAATTAATATCATTTTGTACGAATTTTGTTTACAAATTTTAAATTAAAAAAAAATAAATTGTTTTGCATTATATAAATAATGTATTTTTTGTGCACTATCGTTTGCCAGTAATTGTCTCGAAATGGTTATTGTCGAGTGATAGTTAAACCTATTACCCTCTTCATTTAGTTTCAGTTACATACTTTAAGATCATTAAAATAAATTGAATTATTCAAAAATTAATTGAAATATTAAAAAATAAATGTATGTGGGGATTATATATCCCACATATCCCCATAAATATAAATGGCTATAATAATACCGGGATTATACAGGTCACAATTCTATGGAATAGAATTAATGCTTATATATTACTTAGTTATTGCTGACCAAAGGGTATCTCTAGTTGGTCAGCATTAACTAAGTATTGTTGTGTACATGTATATATTGTCTTGATATATTTTCATATTTTATCATTGCTTGATAATGACTATCTTCTTTATAGAGAAGCCTAGTCAAAACGTCGCTCAGTAATAAGCAGTAATTGTATTCCATAGAAATGTGGCCTGTATAATCCAGGGGCCTGTTTCACGAAATTTTAACTAAAGATAAAATCCAAATTT